CATCACCATAACCATCATCATCATCATCACCATCACCATAACCATCATCATCAGTAGAATTGAGTCGTACCTTTGCTCACCACTCTTATTAATAAACAAGATCATGTGTGTAAATACCTGTGTATTTTGGCTGGGTATCTGTAATGCGTAAGCTAAAGCGTTGCAATCGAATCCATCATCGAGTGCAATCACTGCTCCATGGACTCCAGTATGTTGAAGGTTATCAGCAAATTCATTGACGCCAACAGATTTGAGCCAATCAATGACTCGCTGGTTACTCCAAACCATTACATCTGAAACCCAGCAAGAAAAACTTTCACTTTAGTGAGATGGAAAAAGGGGAAGGGAGAGGAGAAGAAAGGAAAGGGAAGGCAAGGGAAGAAAAGAGAGGAGAGGAGAGGAGAGGAGAGTGGTAACGATGTTACCTTTTGGTTCACCTTGTGAAAGATGTTGTCTCTTTTCCAAAACCTATCAAAGAAGCAAATGGTATTAAGTAAAAACAAACGACTCAGGCAGACGGACACACAAAGGGTCTGAGAAACACAGACAAATAAACAGACAGATGGCAGACAGACAGAGTGACAGACAGACGGCAGACAGACAGACAGACAAACAAACAGATAGACAGACAGACAGACAAACAAACAGATAGACAGACAGACAGACATGGTTATCTTACCCTTCTATCGTAGTTTAATAGACTAAGACACTTTATTCCGCACTGGATACTGTGCCTAAAAAATAAACGCGATTGTTCAATCCATGTATTGTTACGGTTTGGCATTTTGGAGAACGTTTTGAAAATGTATGCGTTTTGTGTGGAGGGACGCCAACGAAAACGCTTTTTCTGCTATTTCCAATTCAGACCACGTGTCATTCCCTAGAGTATCATATCTTTGTTAAATGGTTGTGCGTGAGAAGGCACATGAATATGGATACAACTCAAACAAAGAATCTTATTCTCAAGACCATGTGTCATTCCCTAGAGTATCATTTCTTTGTTTAACGGTTGCACATGAGAAGACACATGAATATGGATACAACTCAAACAAAGAATCTTATTCTCAAGACCACGTGTCATTTCCTAGAGTATCATTTCTTTGTTTAACGGTTGTGCATGAGAAGACACATGAATATGGATACAACTCAAACAAAGAATCTTATTCTCAAGACCACGTGTCATTCCCTAGAGTATCATTTCTTTGTTTAACGGTTGTACATGAGAAGACACATGAATATGGATTCAACTCAAACAAAGAATATTATTCTCAAGAGAATGACACATATTCTGAAATAGTAAAACATTACGCCCTAAAACCAGACAGACAGGCGGACGGACAGACGGAAAAACCTACCTGTGAAAACTATCGACTACTTTCAAGTATTTTTGATATTCTTTTTTACTGATGTGATCCAACATCCTAGCATCCACGAGACATTCTTCAAACAGTGTCTTAAAAGAGTAGAACAGTAGTAGATGAATAAAAAAACAGAAACAGAAACAACCAAGGTTGGTTGAAAAAAACTGGGTCGAGTTGGCATTGCGGTGCATTGTGGGGCTGTTTTAGAGACATTTCCAAGATGCCGTTTATTTTGTCCACAATGCACTGCGATGCCATCTCTGCCCAGTTTTTTTCTTAAACTTGGAATGGGTCGTATCAGCAGTAGCTGCCACAGGAGTCCTTGGGGTGAAAAACACGTGACTCATAATCCCTTGAGATATAAATAGCAATGAAACAGCCGCCATCTTGGTTGATCGAACGTTTTGTATAGTCAACCAGAATGACAGCTATGACGTAACAAGCACCCCAAGAATAAATGTACGTACCTTGTACTGTGATAGACCTATATGTTCGAGCCATTCATTGGCTACCCAGTCGTGATTCATTTCACCATAGACCAACGACTAAATAAACACACAGAAAAAATAAATACACACTGGTGAAAGATAATTATTTTTGCCGACTTTTAGCAAGTTCGCTATTCTTCGTTTGCAATAGACGTCATAGCCGCCATTTTGGAAGAATTTGACAAAAGACTTTTCAATGACTTCTTTTGTTATATCTTCCAACATGGCGGACATCCCTTTTGTTATTGTGCTCTCTTGGGAATGATTGCAAACCAAGAATTCATCCAAACATGCTCAAGCTCGGTAATAGTAATAATATTAGTATAAGCTTTTTGTGTGCCTTTCTCATTTTCCAGAAAAGCCAATAGTTCTCTTCACAGTTCCCTGCGCCATCTTGAAAGGTAGCCATGCCTTTGCATGGAAGCGAGACGAATGGTGAGCTTGCAATAATAGAGACCTTTTTTAACACCTTGGAAAATTATTCACGTCTCTATCTTTGCAAGCTCACCGTTCGGTCTCGCTTCGATGCAAAGTCACGGCTACCTTTCAAGATGTCGCTGTGAGAGGGACTAATGGTATTAGGGTATCTCGGTACACCCCTCCCCCCTCCCCCCGCGTGACTCACATTTCTGTTGGTGTGAGGACTGGAAGGTGTGGTGAGTGTGATTATTTCCTGGATTGCCAGTCGTAGCTTGAGTCTATGAAGAGGGTTTGATATGCCTATCTCGTGTTGTATTTCAGTATCAGAGAGAGCCTGTAGACAAATAATACCACAAAACCAACATTACTTTTCACTCACAATAACTGTAAAAAAATACTCTGTTAAAGGCTTTTGTCTAAGAGCAGTTTTCGTATGACTGTAAAAAGCTCACGGCACGATCACGGGCGTGACATGGCAAGGGATACGCAGACCAATCACATTGCACGAGAGTATACTCTCCATCCAATCAAATGCCCGAAACACGGCATGAACAAGGCGCGGATACTGTCACGCGAAGGTCACGACAATGCCAAACCAATTACATTGTGCGAGAAAAAAAATCCGCCAATTAAAATTCAACATTTGAAATACTTACAGACATTATAGCTCCACTCTTGACGTTGGCTTGACATGCGGCTACATACCATGCCGGCATACCGACCCACAACTATGATAAGAGTAACACAACACCTCATCAGTTACCCGTCACGCGATACATGCGGCTACATACCATGCCGGTATACCTACCCACAACTATGATAAGAGTAACACAATACCTCATCAGTGACCCGTCACGCAATACAGTACACTCACAGTGTTTTCAAATTTATGAGGCTACTCAGTCCAGAAACTATATTTATTCAAATATTGGTCGCCATATTTCGATACGTTGTATACCTAGGTGAGAGTTGATGACAATCCTGTTCCCAACCGGGGTGGTGTGCGGTGATTATCCTCTTACCTCGAGCCAAGCCACAACAGTTGGTGCATTCCAAAGACCAAACGGTGTCCCAGCTTCCAATGCTTCTGCTAATAAATGCGACTTTTTCTTAATACCTCTGTCTAACTCTCGCTGACCGTTGCCAGTGGTTACGGAATCCATGGAAACGGAATCAGAGTCAGGAGCTGATGACGGGTCTTTACTGCGACCTTTTCCTTTGCTACCAAAAAGACGACCAAACGATCCCTTGATTCCTTTCTTCTTATTGGCTGATTGGGTTTTCGTGAGAGACTCGGCACTACTCGTTGTGCTTGTGCTTGTTGCGCTTGGCAATGAATCGTTGGAGTTATCTCTGTAGCAAAGAACAAAAATATTATACAAATTATTATACTATTTACTGTGCGAATACTCTAACCGGGACCACTTTGATAAATTAGTATTATTAACCAATCATATTGCGACATTTAGTTCAATATTTTTAATCAGCCAATCAGATAGCGTATCGATATAATGAGAGCATGAGAACGTGATAATCTGATTGCCTAACACTGTTATCAGTTCAATCTCTGTCTAGTTTACTGTTATCTGATTGGTCAGTTTTTATTGCGTTTTATTTATTAGTAAAATTTATACTTCGATTTGACGTTTCTTGCTTGGTTTTATTCCCCACTCCCTTCCATTTACTGTTCTTTCTTCCTAATTTATTTCTCTTCTCTTCCTTTCCTTTCCTTCTTTTCCCATCATTCTAGGTTCCTTTTCTTTTCCTTTTCTTTCTTCCTACTTCTATTTTTTTCTATTAATTCGCTTTTCTCTCTTTCCTCTTATTTTCTTTCCTTTGCCCCACTTCTTTCCCTTGTTTCTACTTCTCTCTGCTCTGCTCTGCTCTGCCTGTTTTGTTCTGCTCTGTCTGTTCTGTTATGTTCTGTTTTGCTCTGCTTTGCTCTATTCTTTTCTTTATAGTCCACTTTCTTCACACACCATAATATTATACTTACTTGATTTCATATTTCAGTTTCGAGTTCCCATTATTATTAACAGCAGTTGATATCACATCAGGAACAGGACTTGTTATACTTGTCTTAGGGCTTTCTGTCGAGTCTGACGCTACAGAACTAGGGGTGGGTGGCGTAGGGCTATCGTCATTTAGATTGTTGAGGGATCCATCCTTGCTTGACTTTACCTGTAAAAAATCGAGTTCAAATCATTATAAAAGTGTTGCAAATTTTATCCAAAAAGCCAGTATTTGGTTAACTCGCAGATAAAATAGGACGTTTCCATGATGGCTTCATTTCAAGTAGCAGTATAATCCCTTGAATATTTTATTTTGTTCAGTTATTAGCAGCAATTAGCACTAAAGCTCGGAAATAAATTATTTTTGCTTGAAGAAACATTTAGTTTAAAGGTACGTGTCATTGCAATCGGAAAGTTCCGGAAAACTCAGTCTTCCGATAATCCACTTTTCCCGTTCTTTTTGGTTCTTCAGCTAGACGCGTGTACCACTTTTTTGAAAGTCAAAGTTTCCCGCTCTTTTCGTTTCTTCTGGTAGACGCGTGTACCACTTTTTTGAAAGTCAAAGTTTCCCGCTCTTTTCGTTTCTTCTGGTAGACGTGTACCACTTTTTTGAAAGTCAAAGTTTCCCGCTCTTTTCGGTTCTTCTGGTAGACGTGTACCACTTTTTTGAAAGTCAAAGTTTCCCGCTCTTTTCGTTTCTTCTGGTAGACGTGTACCACTTTTTTGAAAGTCAAAGTTTCCTGCTCTTTTCGGTTCTTCCGGTAGACGCGAGTACCATTGGACGGAAGTCAAGGTTTCCCGCTCTTTTCTTAAATTATTAGCAAACGAATTTCCAACCTTCGTCTTCTGCCCATCTAATAAATAGCCGTCCAAACTTACAGTGTTTAATTGATGGAAGCTAAGGGCATACTAGGAATAGATGAGGTTAAAATAGAAACAGTTTTCTTACCCAGATCGGAGTTGTATCCATGGGATCGAGCGGCGGGAATGGAAACGATGAAGTCGAGTTGCTGAGGTAATCCTGATATAGAAACAATGAATCATTTTTGGAATTATTGTCAAAGACATAAGAAAGCTTTGTAGTTAACAAAGTAAAGGAAAAACAGAAGGGAAGGGAAGGGAAGGGAAGGGAAGGGAAGGGAAGAGAAGAGAAGAGAAGAGAAGAGAAGAGAAGAGAAGAGAACAGAAGTGAAGAGAACAGAACAGAAGATAACAGAAGAGAAGAGAAGGGAACAGAACCAGAATGGAAGGTAAGAGAAGCGAATGGGAATGAAGGGGAAGAAAGGAGCGCACAGAAGAGATCAATATACCTCATTAGCACCCGAAAGCCTTCGCGGTCCGGTAGATCCTGTTGCAGATTTGACAAGTTCATCAGTTTTCTCTTCAGTGGTTCGATGTTCATCTTGTAGATAACTGCAGAAAAAACATTAAACAATCATAAAAACTTTATTAGCAATAGCAACGCACGCCACCCATACTTCACGAGTTTTTCTGCTTACACTTACTTCAGTTCCTGGTTGATAGCGTCTATCTGTTGCTGTAGCAACGATGCTAACGTCAAGGCGTCACCCGCCACCTCACTGCCTTCATTATCATCAAAATCCAACGCAGTGCTGTCAGACGGGCGCGTTGTATCGAATGCTATTGTGATGTTTTTCAGGACGTTTTCTTGTTCCATTTTCTGCCATTCTTGTTCGTTCAAAGTGAAGACTTGACTTGGGTTTTCTTCCAGGCACCGACGACCTCGCTGTTCGCGGTAAAGAACATCAGACGCGCTGTGAGGAAGGACAAGAAAAATTGTAAGACGCGTGCATTTGGTTTATCTATAGCTCCTGTGTTGATCTAAGTCATTACGCTGTTCTTACCTGCCTGGTCCCATCGATTGGGTCGCTCGTTCAACCAATTCTTTGGTCTCCTGATAAAAAACAACCAGATTACCATACAGAATTGAAATATGTGGAATATGAGATTATGCAGAAATTGGGGAGGGGATAGTGGACGAACGGTGCAACGATGCAAAGTAATTTTTTAAGGAAGCACTGTTGGCGTAACGGTGAGAGTGCTCCTGTGCTTCGAGGGTTTTTCTCCTGGTTCTCCAGTTTTTCCTCCCTCCACAAAAATCAACTTCCAAATTCTAGGCTTTTCATCCACAACGTAGTGGTGAATTCAAATAGACTCCCCCCCCC